ATTACACCAATGCCTGGTGGCCAATACTGAGAAGCAATCTCAAATCATGTAGAGCGCACCACACATAAAAAAGACACAATCTCCATCCCCAGATGCCTTACTTAATTCAAGTGTTATGGTTATGTAATGCTGTGTCTTAATCATTTATGCCTATCCCTGATGCTGCCACACAATGTCTTCAAAGGAAGTCTTCCTATTAATTTATGTGGACTCCTTTAGCACAATATTTTCTAAAGTGCTCATCCCTATGAGTCAAGATAGCGCTGTCACCCATTACAGATGGGAAACTCGGGCCCAAAGAGTCTGTTTTCCAAATGTTCATATCTTAGTTCAATCCCATATTAAAATATGTTAAGCATACACATGCCTGAGTTCTACTGATGATTAATCTGATGCTCCTAAATATCTACAGTGATTTTTAAAGGGGAATCCAAACTGAGCAAGATTGTACTCCTAACATTCCCAGAAGAGGCTTTCTGTGGTAGAGCAAGGCTCCCAGTGTCATGCCTAAGCCTAAGGAGAGGCATCTGGTTTTCTCCCATTCCCTTTCTCTCTTGGACATGGGTTACTCTTCCTAAATTCATGGCAATTACTTGTTGTTTCCATCAAATAAGAAGTGATTTAGTGTATTTTGGAACAGACTTCTGGTGTTGGCTAAAATGGATGAGAACAATACATTTACTGTCAGTCGTGCCTGCGTAAGAGTGATTTATATTACAAAAAAAATGATGAAAGAATGGAAAAGCTGCTGCATTTAAAAGCACATAAATCTCCAAGCATACCCATAGTCACTTGGCTCTGAGCTTTGCAAATTGTATTGTGCTTTTCTGGAAGGAAATCTAACAAATCTTTTCTTCAGTGATTAGTTCACAGTGTCAACAGATACAACTACCTGTTGTGCTGTACCGCTGGCTGTGGTGAGAACATCTTCCTTTGCTCTGGGCGGGGGGGAAGGAGGCTAGAAGTTCACTGAACCATCTGTTGTTTGCATCTCACAATCTCCTAGCAAGTTTCAGTCTTTAAGATTTCTAACAGGAGGCACTGGTACGGGTGGGGAAAGGTTTTGAGAAAACAAAGATAATGACAAATGTGACTAATCTTACAGTTCATAGAATCAGAGAATGGATGAGATGGAAGGTACCTTTGGTGGCCATTTGGTCCAAACCCACTGCTCAGGCACTGTTATCTCCTGCAGACTGTCCAGGATCATGTAACAAAAGCAGATAGCTTTTAAATATCTTCAGGGATGGATACTCAAACTCTCTGGGCAACCTGTGCCAGTGCTTGCTCACAGCAAAAAGCGTTTCCTGATGTTCAGATGGAGCCTCGTGTTTCAGTTTGTGCCTACTGCCTCTTGTCCTGTCACTGGACACCATGGAGAAGAGCCTGACTTTTCTTTTTTTCACCCTCCCTTCAGGTATTTATAAACACTGATGAGATCATTCCTGAGCCTTCTGTTCTCTGGACTGAACAGTTCCAGCTCTCTCAACCTGTCCTTATTTGTCAGGTGCTCCACTCTCTTAGACAAGGCCTTTTGCTGGACTCACTCCACTGCATCCATTTGCCTTTTGCCCTGAGGAGACTGGACCCAACACTCCAACTATTGTATCACTGGTGCCGAGCAGAGGGAAATGATCACCTCCCTGGACCTTCTGGCAATACCCTCCCTAGCACAGTCCAGAATACCATTAGCCTATTTTTGGCAAGGGCACACTGCTGGCTTATGGTCAGCTGGTGTCCACTGTGGCCCTCAAATCTCTTCCTGCAAAATTACTTTCCAGCCTGGTGACCCCTAGCCCATACTGGTGCACGGGGTAGATTCCTCCTCAAGGGAAAAACTTTGAATTTCCCTTTGTTGAATTTCCCTTTGTTGAATTTCATGAGGTTCCTGTCAGCCTGTATATTCATCCTGATGAGGTCCCTCTGGATGGCAGCATGACCCTCAAGAATACCAAGATATTTTTCCTTTGCACCCACTCTCCTAGAGAGAGGAATCTTAGTTCAGTTCTAGATTAAACTAATTGTCTTGATGACAGGATTAGTAGAAGCAGTGCAAGTACACGTTAGAGGAAAAGCTATATGAGACCACATATAGATCATAAAAGCAATGGTGTTTACCTGTGTATGAGATACAACTCCAGCAACCCCTCCTGTAGGATTTCTACCCATAAAGACACAGATCAAAGCACAAAAGCACTGAGATTCCACACATAGCTGTGTGCATGTTCTATAAAAGAAGGCACGTTCCCTTTTGCCAACGGTAATGAAAAAATAATATATAGCACCCTAAGTTATTTATTTCGTGACACTAGAGGCAGTAGTTGTCATTGCAAGTTAATATGGACTGAACTGCCTTTCAGACATTTGCACAAGCTGCTGCTTCCTTCCCTTTGGGTTTATCCTTCTCACTGGGAAGCCACGTGGAACAAAGCACTGATTGAGTGCTGTGCTGTGCTCATTAGATCAGAATCAGAAACATGCATCCAGCATTCACTGAAACAGAAAAAATCCTGCTGCTAGATTCAGCAGCGGTCCTGAGATGGCAAATACAAAGGACAGTCAGATGGAGGAAACAAGTAAGCAGTGTTCCTTCCATTAATACATAGTATGATGGCACTGGTGTCTCAAGAGCTAAACTTAAGATTCTGATACCAGTCCAGCAGTGAAATCAGGGGGCCCAACAGAAAATCACTGTCACCATTTCCCATACTGCTGAATTTTCATGGGGCCACTACATTCTATTGTGGTCCCCTTTGAACCATCTGCAGCTCCTGCAAAAGGAAATCCAAAGCTGGGACGGAAGCAGAGATGGGACTGGTGAGAACATGATGACCAAGAAGCAGGTTAATACTAATGGGTAGGAAGAACTGATTTTTAATCCTTACCCATGAGTACAACGCCCATGAAAATGCTGAGTGGAGAATAAAGCAAACTTTTGTCTTATGCATAAGACATTTCTTACTAGCAAGGCAGAATTGCTCTTAAGTGAGCACAGCTAGTGGCCCTCAGTCCTGGCACACCACTGTGTTTGAACATATATTGAATGCCATCATTTTAGTAGCTAAGGAGTATCACATCCCATTTGGCACATGCACAACACTTTATAGAGCAGTAGAAATCTTTTTCCCTTGTGTTTTTCTACACACACATTGCAGTGACATGCATCTGACCAATTAAAGCAAAATAATTTTAGTTAATTAACACTAAGGGACAATGTGATTCCCTGGCTGCAAGTCATAAGAGCTGGTTTTGATGCATATGAGTGCCACTGGTTAGCTCTCAGATGCTGGACAATTCATTTCATCTTTCTATGCTTCATTTTCCCCGAGTGCAAAATATAGGGAAATAAAATTTGTTTTCTTTGTTGAAGCACTTTTGAGAGCTGTGAATGAAAAGCGCTACACATTATCAATGAATCCTCATAAAGCCCCCATGGGAGATTTATGAAAATAGAAATGTCCTCACTGTGCTTCTGGAAAACCGAGCTATAACCAAGTAATGCAACAGGGTGAAAAACTCACTGAGACACACCTTTATTCCACCAGATCTGGCAAGCAAGATGGCATCTGCTTCTGCCCATGGCATCCAATCACCCTCATCAACTCTCTCACCTCTGCATGACTTCACTTCTGCATTGCTTTATTTACCCTGGCTACCCACTTCACAGCAAATCCAATTACTTCCAATGCCTGACAACCTCCACAAGCTTCTTTTTTCTGTTGCAGGGATATTCTTGTTCACTGCACCAAATTGACTATACATTTTCACATGACTATACACATCATTCAGAGTACTTTTTGCTGACCTGCACTGGGCTCAGGAACTTAAATGCTTCTACGCACTTTCCTCATATTATTTTCAATATTTGAATAAATACTCCTCTGACAAAGTTTGCTCTCAATTAGAATCAAAACCCAAACACCAGTGTTCTTATGACAGATCCAGTTTTTCTTCACTGGCTCCAGAAATCTTTCAAAGCTATACGAATTTATGCGTTTGGTTCTATTTCACCCTTTGATTCTGACTTCTGTTGGTAGCTAATATATATCCAAAGACAAACTTTAGCTCAATGCACGTGATGTGTGTGTACAAAAATAGAAAAGCTGGAAAGAGAAATAGAAAAGCAGACAAGGTTGGATTCTAGGGAATTGTCATTAGCACGAGTATGCTACATCAATCATTCCTCCCAGACAGAAGGAATAAGCAGTAACACTGTTTTTCTGTTTTGTTAAGCTGCTTCCTACCCACTTTTAATCCTGAAAATTTATTACTTCTTTCTTTTTCATAGTCAGGTTCACTGCAAGAGGAACACTTGTTTTACATCAGTAGAAGTCGAAGAAGTAGCAGAACTGGAAGAGCTTAATGAATTCGAGGCTTGCTTTCAAAATTATCTCTCTCCCTGTATTTAATATGGCATAAAACATTAAATGCTCCAAAGCTGTCAGCAATTACAGTTGTGCAAAATGGATGTTAGTGAAGTTAGAAACAAGCTATTTCAAATGGGTGAAAAATCTCTTGTTAACAACCCTGAATCTTGAATTGCTGAATAATTAGAGCCTGTGTTATGGGTAGACAGCACAAACTTCCTCCCACATTGCTTCCTCTCACAGTAGTATGTTTCAATTCCACCTACAGGAGGTGGAAAGGGAAACTTCTGACTACCAGTCTGTCAAGTTTTGCTTTCTTTGTTAAGACTTGTAACGAGGATACCAACTGAGGTACTATTATTTTTTCCTAAATTGGAAATGTTGCTGAAAACAGTAGTCAGAGAATACTATAGAGACTTGTAATGTATGGTTCAAAACAGATATAGAAGTGATGAGCAGACCAACAGATAATCCAACAGATTGACAAATGCAACATAGACTTACCAGATACCATTAGCAGTACTACTGATGTCTATCTCAGCTCAAATTTAAATCAGTGACCAAAGAGTAAAAGACTTTATATCCTGCTTTCCTCCTCCTGCCATCAAAGGACAAAATAGCAATTGCATTTACCTGTAGATCAGGACTTCATCATCCGAACAGTTATACTGCAACTGATACATTTTTACTCGGGGGGCTGACTTGCTCACCGTCCACTTCACCAAAGCTGAGGTAGTGGTCACTTCTGACACCAGGACTGCTCTTTCTGGTGGGCCTTTTGTTTCCCCTCGATTAGACTTGCTGGAGCTGGTGATGTCTGAAAGCCTGGACTTTGGTGGGGCAGCTCGGCCTGTGCCATTGCTGAGATGAGGGAGCTGAACAATTGAGAGCTCTATTGTTGCAGTCGATTCTCCAGCAGCATTGGCTGCTATGCAAGTGAAAGTCCCATAATCCTTGGATGTAGTGATGAGAATATCTAAGGTGCCATTGTCATAGACAGATGTCCTTGAAGAGTTTCCGATGAGGCGGTCGTCAGGGGCCACCCAATGAATGATGGGTGTGGGATCCCCAATGGCTTTGCATTTCAGTGTGGCAGTTTGCCCTTCTAAAACCAGCAACTTGTGAGTATGTTGTGTGATAAGAGGAGGCTCACAAACAAATTCTTCCTCCCGTACATACCAGAAGTACCTTCCCTTTAGACCCGGAGGAGAAGCACAAGTTTCCATATCGTCATCCCTGTCAAGTCTCCTCAACCACAACAGCTCACAGTTGCAATGTAGTGGGTTACCCCCAAAGCTGAGAGACAAAGGTGGAGAAAACGGGGTAACAGCTAATGGAATTACTTGAGATCTGGCAAAGATAGGGTCAGGGGGAAGCTTCTGAAGTCTGTTGGATGTTAGATCCAATCTGGCTAATTTCTGAAGATCTGCAAACGTCCCCTCCGTAATATAGTCTATCAGGTTATGATCTAAACTGAGCTGGTGCAAGTTTATCATCTTCCTTATAGATTCCCAGGGAATGCTTCGGAGGTTATTGTAGGAAAGGTCTAAGTCTTCCAACGTCAGCAAAAAATCCTCAAAGGCTTCATCAGAGATGCTGGTTAGCTGGTTGTTGTTTAAAATCAAGTGCTGAAGGTTAATTAAGCCTCTCAAAATATCTTCTCCAATGTCAGGCAGCCTGTTGCTGTCCAGATGCAAAGACCGAAGGCTCTCCAGGTCAGTGAAAGAGTACGGCTGTATATAACTGATGGTGTTTCTGGACAATGTGAGGTCAACGAGCCCAGACATATTGGCAAAATCCTGTCGGCTGATATTAATAATAAAGTTTCCCCCAAGTCGAAGCTCAACAGTCCTTCGATCTATGTCTAGCGGTACAAACAGTAGACCCTTCGAGGGACACAAAGTCCCAAGCGACTCAGACAGGTTCTGGCAGACACAATATTTGGGACAAGCATTGACCATGACAGCCATTCCAAACACCAGGATGCCACAGAGCAATTTTTCCATGGTAAATCACGTAGCAGTACCTGCAAGAAATGGAAACAGTTACAAGGAGCGTCAGCAGTTATAATACAGGTATCCTTCATCCACATTTTATCTGATATCTACTTCTAGAGACATTACCCAGTGCCTTCTCTCAGGAGTCATCTTCACAGCAGTCAACACTCTGAGATAGCAAATTTAAGTGCTACAGTAGCATTTCCCCTAGTCACGCATTTGTTTCTTAAAAATGTATGTTTGATTCCACAACTGAACAGAATAGGAGTTCTTGGAACTTCTGCCAGCTAATAGATTATTACAACTATATTTTCTCTTTTTACAATTTTATAATTCCCACTAGGTAGAGGACAAATCTTGCTGTCATGTTGCAAGATTTATTTAAAACTATGAAAGATTTCACTTGGAATAGCGCCTGCTTCTTTGAGGGTAGAATCTGTCTTATAGTAATTACATATTGATGCATAAAAATGTTGTGGAATTAATTTAGAGTTGAAAGAGCTGATTTTATGGATAAAAATAACTACATATTTACCCTTTAGTGATATAGTTCTTAATGACCACATAATTATCGGGCAAGTCCCGAGGCAAGCAAGTTCACTTGCCCACCCCGAATAAAATTCATGATAGGCAGCTTAGGAAGCAGAAATCTCTTGCATAATCATCACCTGGAATCACCCTATGCTCAGCCATCCTACAGGAAAGATGACATTGAATAACTTTAAAGAAAAAAAAAAGCAGGGAAAACACATTACCTTGGGCTTCTTGCAAGCTTTTTGATTCCTGCATGCTCTCACACTACAGCCCTTCCTAATGTAATCACAGCAGAGCTCCTCATGATGCCCACAGCTGTGCCTTGTTTCCCACCCATTTTTTATTTGTGTTTTTATGCCGCCCCCCCCCCCAGCTCTTATACACTTTTCTGGCTTGAACTGTAAAGTATGTTTCTTTGAAAAATAAACAAAAAGTATTGGAGTTTCCTTCTCTGGAGTTACTCAGGACCTGTCTGGACACTTTCCTGTGTGACCTATTATAGAGAACCTTTGGCAGAGAGGTTAGACTAGATGATCTCCATAGATCTCTTCCAACCCCTTCAATTCTGTGATTTACAGCCTGACTGTGAGGGCTGACTGAGGCTGGGAGGAGCCCTCAACACAATAAGATGTGAGGCATCCTCATGCTTTTTCAGTTGCCTCTCCAGTGTTGACCTTCCAAGATGCCACTGCTGGATGCATGGAGGCATGACACAGAGGGCTGCACTCAGTACACATGTAGAGCTGATCTCCATGCCTCACAACTCACTGCCATTTCTGCTGAATAGCAACTATCCACCTTCTGTGCCTCCTGCTGCGGAGCAGCTTGTGATGGTCTGTGAGTGGGCACGTGAAGTGTAAAGTCATGCTGTTCTTTGCATTCCGTAGGTGGTGGATAGTCACCTGTGCCTAAGCTGGTTCTGTTACTGCTGTACACGTGACAGGATAACATGCAAAGTCTCATAATAGCTTTAATAATTAACTAATATGAGGCCACTCAAATGTTAACAAACATATGACACTAGAGATGCATCTCACAAAAAAATCACGGTGCCATTATTTATGTTTCATCCCACTGCAGAAATGACAGTTATGCAGATGTTCTGTAAAATTGAAATAAGTTATGAAGGTCAGTTTTTAATCCAGTAGTAGCACACACCAAACAGAGAAGAAAATCTATCACCTCAGTCACTGTTTTTTAACTCTTAAAACCACTTTTTCCCCCTGCCTGTGAAAGAAACGATAACATGAGCACTGTGTTTGGGCCTGCACACAAAAGCAGCTGCTTCCTCTCATGGGTAAGATGGTTTGGTTTCTCCAGTCTAGAACATGGAGTAACACAGAGCTGTAGAAATGCAAGACACTGTGTTTGCTGAACTATGCATGTTAGTTCAGTTATGCCAAGGTTTTCTGCATGGCGAGTGCTAGTAGTTATATAACACTAACGCTGTTCTTTAGGAGAGGAAAGGATCAGAACAGAGAAAGCATCTCTGTTTGCTGAACTCCGCAAACAAGATAACAGCAAAGTACTTTTAGAAAGGATGGCTTGGGAAGACTAATTTTTTAGTAGTAAATAAAAGGCTACTGAATAAAATGTTTGGAGCTTAGCAACTAAGTTACTGATGCAAATCTGCAGCATACTTAGCAAAATGCTGTAAATATCCTTTATATTATCAATTAGTAGTTTACTAACAGGCAATTGGCTTTTTGAATCTTAATTATAATTGTGTTCTGCAACTTTAATTCAGCACATTACCCTACCAGCTGAAATTATAAACAAAAAAAGCAGTTTAAAAGGGGGAGAAATAGATACAGTTAATTAGTAATAAGCCCTTTCATAGCTTCTCCTTTATCTACATTCCCACCCTCTAAATATCTATTCATAAATGTGAATGCACACTTAGGAGAGCAGTGTCTCCTTTAAGTGTCCCAATTCTCTAACCACATTTTTTCCGGATGCTGTTAAATATCACAGAGCTTTGGGGAGACAGTTGACTCTAAGTATCAGAATGAAAAGCATTTATAAAAGAAAAACTGGGGGGAGGAACAGAATTTAATTACAGAAAATAGGGACTGCAACACCGAGAGGAGACTATGAAACAGGAGATCTAAACGACAAAGTAAGCCCTGATGGGGAAACCATCTGTGGATGGATTGAAAGCTCGTCATCTGTCTGTGTGCGCTTGCATGTGCACAAGAAAAAGAGGCAGAGAGCACATTATTTGCTTTTACCAGCAGAACAGATCAGTAACATCTGTACCAGGATGCAAATATCATTGCTATTGTCTCTCTGGTTGTTGAATGCATTTGGAAATATTAACGTAAATACTGTTTGTTCAAAGAGGACATTTCTAGCCTTTATCATCTGTCGCCAGCATCTGTACTTCAAGCTTCTGAGCCTGTCCTGACATGACAAAATCATGACACAGCAAACAGGATACACACCCAAGTGCTTACAAACAGCAGATTGGAAAGAACTGTTGTGGGCAGGACTCTTTAAAAAGAACATCTGGGGCTTTTGCAGGACAACTGCTTTTCTCTTTCCCCTCCAGAAAGGCAAAACACCAACTCAGCAGACATGGAAAGAATATGGGAGTCTATTATATGACTGTCTTCTAAAATCTAGTCTCTACAACAGAGTCAAAGTAATTGGTAGCTGCCAAGAAGATGGATGTATAATAAAAATTGTTTTGATTTCAATTCTGGTAACATTCATACAAAGCAGAATATGAATTGTTAAGTTTAGGGTCTGTTTTTGCCAAGAGGTTTGTTCACCTTATTCCCAAATCTCCTGTGACCTGCAACACCGAGCATTTTACAGGCCGTTAGTGATAGCCCTGTGATAAACTAACCATTCTGATTTACATTTAAAAGGTATCCATCAGCCAGCTAAAGTAGATTTCTCACAGCGAGTCAGTAAATCTGGCAGGGTTTCTCTCTCAGCCCAAGATGAAAAATAGTCTCTTTAGCCCTCTTATAACATATATTGGTATGAATTAATATGTGCAAGAGTCATAAACCTTGGTGTTTTGTATTCAAATTTTCCTCATAAAGATACAACTTCTGAGATTTGGCATCTCATTTCAAGAATGCCTCTGAGGCATTTTTTAATTCTGTATTCATTGAGCTTTGCATATAAATTCCAATAACCTTTGCATACCATAGCACCAAGTACAAGGCAGCTGTCAGACAAGAAAGGTACCACTGCAGTATGCAGACTAGGAGAAAAAATAAATACAAAGAAGGGTGGATGGGTAGTGGTTCTCATTCGTCTATCTCCTGTTACACAGGGATACAGCTTCCCAGGAATGTATGGATGAGTTACACTTTTTTTCAGTTTTGTAGGTGCTCTTGGAAGAATTGCATTTATTTTTTTTCCTAGGAGCTACTCTTTTCCTCTTAACCTTCTCATCTCTTATCTCTATATTCATTGTATGTCTTGTCACTCTGTCTACCCTGTAGCTGCAAAGCTTGATGGACTGCAGTGATGGATAAAGTTTTCTGGGTATTCTCTGAAGCAACTGACAGCCTGTAAGAGGGGATTGAGTCATGTCAGGAAAAAAATTATTCCTTAATCCTTTACATTTCCATTAACTATGTGGTAGAGGTCTCAGTATGCCCTGATACATACAGTTTGTTTATGTCTGATTCACCTAGTGATGAATAACACCTCTGCATCAGAATCTGTCCTCAGGACTGTACAGATTGAAACAGTTTTGTTGTTCAGCCACTGCTAGTTTCATGAGCATCTCTGAAGCTGTTTAGGTGTTGAAACTTGGTCGTACGTAGGTGCTCACAGTTTCACAATCAGGACACTAATACTAATTTTATTTATCTTTTGTCTTCTGTGCTCACCTACGTTTTAGCATTCCTCTGGGGGTAAAGCTGCATATCATCAGCTGTACAGATGTACAGTGCCATTTAGATTTTAGCTATGCCTTTTTGGGAGCTGGCTTTATAATTATAATTTATAATAATTAGTAGCATTAACATGTGAAATTCTTGCTTTCTCCAGCTACCCTACCTTTTACAGAGAGGAAACATTTACAAACACACACTATTTCAGGTATTCGTGGCTATCCTTAGTAAGGTTGACCTGCATTAATTTGATCAACATTGCTTCCATAATGTCTTAGTTTCAGCTGGGATGGAATTGTTTTCTTTGCAGTGCCTGGTGTGATGTCATGTTTTGATTCTAGGGGAAAAAACAATGTTGATAACACACCGATGTTTCTGCTTGGTGCTGAGCAGTGTGGTACAGAGCCAAAGACCTTCTCAGTGAAGGACCCAAGAAGCTGGGAGGGAGTGGAATTAGGACAACTGACTTAAACTGGGCAAAGGGATTTTCCATACCACACGACATCATGCAGAAGGAGTTCTGAAGTAGGGGTAGGAGTTAATTGCTCTCTCTCCTGCTGTTCAGGAGGCTAGCGGGGCATCAATCGAAGGGTGGTAATAACTATTATCATTTTCCTTTTCTCTTAGTAAATAGTTTTATCCCAACCAACAAGTTCTATTACATGTTTTAATTTTTTTTTTTTTTGTTGTTTTCTTCTCTTCCCCATTCCACTGGGAAGGGGGGGAGTGAGCGAACAACTGTATGGTACTCAGCCACCTGGCAGGTCAAACCACAACACACAGTAACACACCCCTGGTCAATTTTAGTGGACTTACTGCCCTTTGTACAACATATTCTTCAAGACTATCACAATAAGTTTCATTTATGCATTTTATTTCATTGGATTTCTGTCCTTTACAAACTGCTCAGGGTCCATCCTATCTCCTCTGTCCTTGCCAGGCTTGGTCATGTTCAGGAAGAGTTCTTCTAAAGAGCCATATGCCTCCAAATGAAATCAACTCATAGGATGGCCTTAAATGTGAGAACATTTCTTTTATGGCTGGATATCAAAAAACTGGATCTGGAGCAGAGATAAGGATAATCCATAAAAAAGCAATTTTCAAGAGGGTTCACTTTATGAAGTCTGATTTAATCCACTCAAAAAATTCCTAAGGAAATAACCCACTATTTTCTTCTGCAGACCTGTCTCACAGAGAAATTTATTGGTCTCTTTCAATCTTGCACTGAAAAAAAACTTATGTCTGTTTGTTTGCATTTCTTGGAAAAATGTTCTCACTTTTCATAATTACTTATCTATTCCTGCCTCCAGTCTTTTCTTTCTTTTTACCCATTCCTTTACCTTTCCCAAGACTACAACTATCCATCTATCAAAAGCTCAAAAAAATCAGTGTGGCTGGTCAGGGACAGGCC